CAAGAACTTTTCTTAACTGACCTGTTGCTTCAGTTGCGGATCAAACTTGGACAATTTGAAAAGCAAGAACTACAACTCAAACAAAACCTGAATCTGGGTGGGTTCACATATTGAACTGGCGTAGACGACGCTCGCACGATTTTAGCCGAGTTTTCCATTCTTTTCAACGAAGTGAAATTCTTCTTTTTCCCCTTTCCCCACCCACAGGTATTGCATCGAAAACATTCAAAACTGGAGTAGTCTGTTCCATACTGACCATACTATTTACGCAGCCTAGTCGCCGTCTCTTCCAAATTCCAAATGGTTGTGGTATTCACCTTTGCTCATTTTCAGAGAACCATAAATCTTATGCAAAAGCTTTTCCTCAAAAACTCCTTACCTCCTGAGTGACTTGTTGATGGTAGTTTTTCTTTGTGAAGAAAGGGAAATATTACTGAGCCGATTTTATCACGTCAGAAATATTCTCATATACGGAATATACAGATATTACTAATTATCTTCTGGTCAACCGATAACCTTTTTTTATGGTAAACCAGAATGAATCAAAGGTTTTTTGGTAGTTAAGAGCTCCAATTATCCAATCACCTACACTCAAATAAGCCAAACTTACAAGCAACACTTAATACGAAATGATATCTGAGCAGGGCATGGTAACTTTGGGCATTGACGGATCAAAAACTCAACTATTTTGTAAACTTCGAACATTGTAGTACTGAAGATTGAATCGGGACGACCTCTTCGAGCCAGTCGATCCCAAACGAGGTTGCAGGCATGGTTATAGCTTATCGTGCGTCGTCTTTACATAAGATAAATTCTTCTAAATTTGCTATTTTTGACTGAGTAGACAAATTAAAAAGTGCAATCCTCTCTCAACAAACAAAGACCAAACTTTACAAAACGCTCATCAGTGCTGTCCTACTACATGGCACCGAGGCACGAACGATAACAACATCTGATGAGTCGGCGTAAAAAGTTTTCAATAGAGATGCTTTGCGAGAAATACGCCGTTGTTTAGCTCATGAGATGCGAAGGAATAAGAATACTCCAGCTCTGAGAGTTTTCGATGCAGTACTGGTCGGTGAAAGCAGAAAAAAATGAAGACCATCTCTCCCTTGGAAAACCAGGTTGAGAAGTGCCTAATTGTACTTCGATATTTCAATTTTCACTAAACAACCAACATTTAAGAATTTACATTTTGCATATAGAAAATTTATTCAAATAACATAAATTAAGCTAAATATAATTATATACACATATAAATAAATATATATACATATATATATTAATAAGATTTTACATTCATTTTTAATAAAATAATAACATACAACAATCAACAACTGTAATTGTGGTTCAAAATAATTGAAGCAAAAAAAAAAAACAACAACAACACTTGGCCATCTAAATTGTTTTAGATAAGTAAAACACGAGCAAACTTTTTCGCTGGAAGTGAAAACCAGTAAACAAGCCGAAGTTTGTTGTTTCAAATTTCCGTTTTTCAAACAATTTTATTGTCTGTCAGTACGAATGCTGCGGTTACGCCTGGTTATATGTATGTGTAAGTATCTATACAAGCCCTGCAAGGAAAAATACCAGTTATCAACTAGAATCAAACTAGTGTAAAAATGTCACCAACTAGTATAGTTCATCTTCCAAAAAATTTCCATGTAAGCAACCTGTATTACTATGTCCTACCAACTGTCAATTAACAATCTCTGTATCAATTTCATACTAGTTAAATACCAGTTCATCTGTACTAGTTAAAACTGTGGTTCGTTCATACCAGCTGTGAACTAGATGCCTCAGACCGTCCTGCATCGCACTTGCCAAGAACTAGTTCGATTGATTCCGGTGTTCAAATAAATTTGAGAAAGGTTTTGAAAAATTTCTCTCACGGAAAATTGGTTACAGACCAACTTATTTAAAAAGAAAAGCACTTATGTCACTTAACACTTATATCAAAAATTATTATATATTATGACCACAAAAACAAATTAAAAAAGTTTATTCGAATTTTGGTACATTATTTCTTTTCAAAAGTGGATCAGATATCGATATATCAGATATCGATCAGATATTACTAGAATAATTAGTAATAATGCGTGGTCAGAGGCTCGAGAGTTGCTTCTGATTTTTTTTTGGCAAAACGATGAACTGGTATGAATTTGTCCACGAAATACTAATACATATCTAGTTTACAAACAACCACATATGATTTCGTCTTCACAACACTAGTATTTAACTACAACCTTTGCATACCAGTCTACATATTCCCTGCAGGGTGGCGTTAATGTTGTCTGCTTGTTTTACAATTTAAAATGAATGTGGTCGTTTTTGATTTTGTTTTTCTGTTGGCAAACTACGCATCAGCATAATTGTTTGTTCCCACGTCACACACACACAAACACACACACACAAACACACACACAAACACACACACATATATATGTACACAATCATACGCAAAAAAAATGCCTGCCGTGTTGTGTTTGCTTTGGTTAGAATTTGAAATTTATATGCATTTACACGTATGTGTGTATTTGTGTTTGTGCGCATTATTTTCTCTTTAAATGAAAACAAACGCTGCATTTTCTTTGCCACAAAAACTAAGTTACAGCTTGTTGAGCTCTTAGGGTAGGCAAAAGTGCTTTTATATCTGCAACTGACTAACACACTCGCTGACAGGTTATGTGCGATGAAACGCTATGTTTATTGTTAAAACATTTCGACACTCGTCGGGTAGACAGCCAAACATTTTTTTGCTATTTCTGAGTATCAAAAAAAAAAAATAAAAAATAAAAAAATTAAAAAAAAAAAATTAAAAAAAAAATAAAAAAATTTGCAAAAAGTGAAAAAACATTTTTTTTCTCATCTAAAATAGTTTCCGACATTTCGCCAACTAACTCGCTGTCGTTTATTGCTTTGCTCTCAAACATTGTACGTATGTACGTACCTAGTCTGTTGCCACTTCATGGTTACATGCTTGAGTACAGCGTGTATTCCAGCATCCTGTGTATCCTGTCAGTTACTTAGCCTTTACACAGCGCAATGCTGTGTGCGCTAAATAATTTTTAGTTTCTTTATGCATCAGTTTTTTTTAGCCTTGTTGTTTATGCCTTGTACGTTTGAACTTTTTTCTTTGTTTACTTAAACTTCGTGAATGCCCGCGCCGGATGCAGGAGCATACATAAATCGTTCAGCTTGTTTAAGCTTAGGAAATTCCATTTTATAATGTTTTAATGGTGTGGGATGAAAGGCTCTTTTAATTGTGTTACATTGTTAATACTTTATATATTATATTATTTATATTAAATACTGCTTTTAGCTCGCGCATTTACTTACAGCAGAACTTGATTTGTATAGGTGTTATAGCTGAGAGTGTGTGCAGCATTATACTATTAAAGGGTTAGAAGTTTGAAAAAGTTTATACAAAAATTTTCTATCGTCTGTCTATTACATTATAATTAAGTTAATAAAAAAAATATTCAATAATCTCGTAGAGATAATAGCTTAAACGGCTTAAGCTGGTAAGTTATTGTTAATAAATTCAATATAAATTAAATACAACTTAAGCCATTAGAGCTTTTATGTCTAAAGCCTTAATCGTTTAAGCTTCTAGCTCTATAAGATTATTAAATATTTTTTTTTAATTTATTTTTAGCAATACAAAAATTTAAGGCAAGAAACCTATTTTATAAACATTTCAAATTTATTTAAATGATTTTGGCCACCTTTTTTCATTTCGAGTTAAAACGTGTAACCATTTTGTACAAAACTCCATGTCACACTGATAGATCGTGTTATTCAATTTACCCAGAAGACGGTTACCGAAGAGTAGCCGCAATAACCTCTTAGAGATAATGGCTTAAACGGCTTAAGCTGGTAAGTTAATGTTAATAAATTCAATATAAATTAAAGACAGCTTATCCATTAAAGCTTTTGTCTCTAAACCCTTTAAAAGCTTCTAGCTCTATGAGATTATTAAATATTTTTAATTAATTTATTTATAACAATACAAGAATTTAATGCACGAAACCTATTTTATAAACATTTCAAATTTATTTTAATGATTTTGGCCACCTTGTTTCATTTTGAGTTGAAACTTCTAACCGCTTTGTACAAGACTCCACTTCCCACTGATAGGTCGTGTTATTAAATTTACCCAGAAGACGGTTACCGAAGAGTAGCCGAAATATATTGGAGTTAAATTAACGAATTAATATTGTGTTTTTATTGACCATAAGCCGGCAAACAGTTCCATTTCAAATTTATTCGCAGAGGAAAACAATTAATTAACATATATATACAGGGTTTTCCAATAGCAAATTTTATTTTCGTATTCAAAAAATTAAGTGAAGACGTTGTAGAAAAGGGTATATACCATTAATAATGGTAAATAGCATCAGGGCCGTATCTTTTTCATGGAATTTTCCATCACCAAATTGCAAAATGGCTGCTGTATGTCGTTAATAGCTTCACTAATCCCAAATTTGAGGTTTTGAATCGAGGTTGGCCTGTTGGTATAGACCTAATGTTTGATTTGGCCTCAAAATAAAAGGTTTGAAGGTGCTAAATTACCAGATATCGGTGGTCAATTGCCATTACTTCTTCATTAGGTAATAATGTCCGAACACTTTTCCGTAAAAAATCGTTGGTTTGCTGTTTGTATGGCATGTAGCGCTGACTTGTTGAAAGTAAACGTTGTGCAAATCAATGATATGCAATTCCGGCCATAAAAATCATTAATCATCTCTCGATAGCTCCAAATGCACACTCGAAAAAGTGAGGTCCAATGACCCCGCCGGACCATAAACTGCAGCTTCAAAATATCTCATATAAAATACCCACTCGACGTGGCTCTTACCGAAATTATTTTCGTTTAAGGAACGGCAACTAAAAATTGCTCTATTTTATATACACGTATGAATTATAAATTACTTTAAATATTTCTCAAAACTTTCCATTATTATTTATTAAACAAATGAAATGTTTTCTCTTTTCAGTGCAAAAAGAAGGTGGAACACAACTGAAGTTAATCATTGAATTTCCCAACGATGTCAGAGCGCTTATGAAACCCATGAGGTAATTAACAGATTTACGCATACACGCACAAATATTTTATACTAAGAACTCTTCTTTAGCGTTCAAACATTGTGTCTATCAGATATGAAATTACCACTTTAATATTATTAAGAAATCAAACAGATTTCCACATTATTGTGAGAGTGAAAAATTTTAAAGAATAAAAGATATACGTAGTCAGTATCATTTAAGTATTAATGCTTTTGAAGCTTCAATGTTTATTGGATCCTTTGACTATCACCGCCGAATACATTTCAATCACGTGGACACAAGACAAGTTGTATAACAGCAACACGTGTCTCTGCCATAATTTTACGGTTATCTATCGTTTCTGGCTATGGCTCATCTTACTGCTTAATGTGTACGTATGTAAGCACGCGCATTCCAATGCGTATCTCATACGCCACGATGCCTGACAATATGTTACCTTAAGCTATTGATTCTTGTTATTGTGACTGCTTGAAATGGGAATAAGAACAAAAACAATTTTAACTGTCGGTGATAGCAATTTATTGCAACTACATTTTCAGTCGGCGTAAGTAATAAAAGCCCTAATACGATGCTCGGATTGGAGGCGGTTAATAAAGCAATGTAATTGCTGATTCGTGACTGATAAGCTCAAGATGTGTTGCACAATGGTTGAGGGAAACCAAGTGCTGCAAGCATAAATAAAATAAAATAAAATAAAATAAAATAAAATAAAATAAAATAAAATAAAATAAAATAAAATAAAATAAAATAAAATAAAATAAAATAAAATAATTAAAAAAGTAATTTAAACAAAAATAAAAAAATAACAGAGTAGACTAAAATAATTAATTTAAAGAAGGCAAAATTAAATGAAAAAAAATTAATATTAAATTAACTAAATTAAAAACAATTATAATTAAAATAAATACAACTGATAGGAGTTAGTAAATTGCATGTATATGTATTTTATTTTGTTCATTATTTCCTTATTTTGTGACAGATTTCCACGCGAACAGCAAACGCTACCAAATCACTTCTACTTCACGGACTATGAGCGGCATAATGCTGAGATTGCGGCTTTTCATTTGGATCGGTGAGTTGCAAATTCGAAAGATATTCAATATATATTACTTTCATGCACTTTAAGAAAAATATACATACATATCTGTAAACTTCATTCACTTATTAAGTTTTTAAACTCTTGTGCATTAATGTGAAAAATTTTAATTATTTCCTTTATAACTTCATTTGAATAAAACAACCTTCCCTTATTTAATACACGTGTGTATTTTATGTGCAAGCGATTCGTTGGTTCAAATCCGTACCAAACGAATTGCATTTATTTGTTAATCTCTCTTTGCACATCCTTTTTTTAATCATTCTTTACCTGTATTAACTTTTACTACTTACCTTCTTCGTTAATTGAATACTGTTTATACGATTCTACGCATTTGTATGCATTATTTCTCTGAAATTGAAATGAGCCCGCCTTGGCGTATGCGTAACAAATTTCGGTTTCTTTTGATTGTTGCGAAATTTTTGAATTTTCTTTTGCACGCTCATTCAAAAAACAAATAAAATAATTTAGGGATAATTTAGCGATTCTTTAAAAGTATCACCGCTCGTACCGCACCAATTTAAATACTACTAAAAAAAATTATTATTTACGTAACCACATGCCTCCGCTCTGCGTATAATGTTATGCTCCATTTTTTGTTTTTCTTTTTAAGATGCCATTAAATTCTCACTATCACATAATACTATGTTTGAATATGCTTGCTACTAGCAGGTAAATGGTTGTCTAATTTTTTCAACATGAATCACGATTTTAAGACATGTGTTATGCCAGAGAAGATGTGTAGACAAGCACAAGAGACATTGAATATATCATTGCTTGCATTTCTTTTTGCTCCTATGCTTTGTAATACTAATCTTACTACAAATTCTTACTTCATGTTTTGCTAGAAAGTAAATTTTTTTTCACAATTGGCAATGTTGCCAATTTTCTATTTATAAATTTGCAATAATTTTAAGATAGTAANAATCATTATTTCCTTATTTTGTGACAGATTTCCACGCGAACAGCAAACGCTACCAAATCACTTCTACTTCACGGACTATGAGCGGCATAATGCTGAGATTGCGGCTTTTCATTTGGATCGGTGAGTTGCAAATTCGAAAGATATTCAATATATATTACTTTCATGCACTTTAAGAAAAATATACATACATATCTGTAAACTTCATTCACTTATTAAGTTTTTAAACTCTTGTGCATTAATGTGAAAAATTTTAATTATTTCCTTTATAACTTCATTTGAATAAAACAACCTTCCCTTATTTAATACACGTGTGTATTTTATGTGCAAGCGATTCGTTGGTTCAAATCCGTACCAAACGAATTGCATTTATTTGTTAATCTCTCTTTGCACATCCTTTTTTTAATCATTCTTTACCTGTATTAACTTTTACTACTTACCTTCTTCGTTAATTGAATACTGTTTATACGATTCTACGCATTTGTATGCATTATTTCTCTGAAATTGAAATGAGCCCGCCTTGGCGTATGCGTAACAAATTTCGGTTTCTTTTGATTGTTGCGAAATTTTTGAATTTTCTTTTGCACGCTCATTCAAAAAACAAATAAAATAATTTAGGGATAATTTAGCGATTCTTTAAAAGTATCACCGCTCGTACCGCACCAATTTAAATACTACTAAAAAAAATTATTATTTACGTAACCACATGCCTCCGCTCTGCGTATAATGTTAAGCTCCATTTTTTGTTTTTCCTTTTAAGATGCCATTAAATTCTCACTATCACATAATACTATGTTTCAATATGCTTGCTGCTAGCAGGTAAATGGTTGTCTAATTTTTTTAACATGAATCACGATTTTAAGACATGCAAGTATACATGTGTAATGCCATAGAAGATGTGTAGACGAGCACAAGAGACATTGAATACCTCATTGCTTGCATTTCTTTTTACTTCTATGCTTTGTAATACTATTCTTACTACAAATTCTTACTTCATGTTTTTCTAGAAAGTAAATTTTTTTTTCACAATTGGCAATGTTGCCAATTTTCTATTTATAAATTTGCAATAATTTTAAGACAGTAATTTTTTTTTTGAATTCACCTTCTTTGTTGCCATAATTCTAAAGTAGGAAATTTTTTTGAATTCAGCTTATTTGTTAGAAGTGTAAATATTTTACAATATTGTCATCCTTTTGTTTGAATTTTTGTTTTTACTCAGCATAATGTTACCAATTTTCGCTGTGCAAATTTGCCGTTTCAGTAATTCTTTGATAGTTTATATTTTTATATAATTTAGCTCATTGTAATAAATGTAAATGTTTTGCAGTTTGATAGTATTTATATCGTAAATCATTTTACTTAGCAATGTTGCCAATTTTCGCATTAGAAATGAATGCTTTTCGTTGTTGCGTAGTGGTTTTTTAATTTTTAGTTTCATTAGTTTCCTACTCGCATTTGCAATATCTGCATGGCTGTCAATTCATTTTACGTTATTGCGCACTATTGCCAAATTTCTTCTCAAAAAAATAAAGATTATGCGTATTTAATATGTGGAACTTAACGGCGCTAATAGGTTTTTACTTGAGCGTTTTTCGTGAGTGATATTCGGACTCCTACGTTAAATTTTATTTTTTTGCTTCCATTGTTGTCATTTTTACCTCTGTTGCTAGCGTTTTTCTGAATTTTGAAAAATTTCACGTAATTTCTTTTGTCGTTTGACGTACATTTTATAAAAAAGGTATTCAGTAAAAAATGTTTGTTGACGTTTCCGTATGATGCATTTTTTAAGTATGGAAATTATCATTAATGCTCCTCATTAACATGCTACTTTGTAGAATAATTTTCTTTTTAAGGGTATTTAACGATTTAAAAATGTCCATTCAAAGAACTCTCCATATTAAATTCGTTAGAAAAATTATTTCGAAAATTTCGAACCCTCCTTAAACTTAGCTGTTCTTCCACTATGCGGTATTTTCATATGTACTTTATTTTCGTATGGAACACTACACAAAATGTTAACCTCATTGGACCCCAAATAACATCATTGGCATACAATCATGTTTGTAACAGCAATCCTTAATCTTGCTTTTATGTTTCGTAAATATTTCTTGTGAAAAATTACTCTACCGCACAAATGTTCTACAATAGACATACCCACACAACAACGTTTTACAAGCACCGAGCACTTCACACACCACAGGAACATTTAATTCATTTATTTGCCACACGTTCACTCAATTCAGGCGTTCCACTTTGACATTTCTTTTTAATTTCACTCACAATCTCACTGCGGTTTTTTACAACACTGCTCTCCTTACAATTTGTTTTCATAAAACAAAAGGCAAGCAACTGCTACTAGAGTGTAGTTTAATTCTTCGTTTTCACTTAACCCAACATTTGTCCATTCGCAATTGTAGAACAAGCGCTTATCCGTCGTAACATTACATTAAACTTTTTATTGCCCTCACACCGGCATTTAATGTCCTTCTTGCACTTTATATTTTTCACTTTTTAATTTCTTTCTTTATTTTTTAAACATGGCTTGCTCTACATGCATACAACTTTATACTCGTACATATAGATAATTATTTGATTGTGTTTTCATTTTCTTCTGTTTCTACTGCTTTCCCTATATTTACAGCATTTTGGGTTTCCGTCGCGCCATGCCCGTCACCGGTCGTCTGCTGAATATTACAACAGAAATTTATCAAGTTGCCGACGACAATTTATTAAGGACCTTCTTCGTCTCGCCTTCGTCGAATTTGTGTTTCCACGGCAAATGCTCGTACTACTGTGACACGGGACATGCTGTTTGTGGCAATCCGGATATGTTGGAGGGTTCATTTGCTGCTTTCTTGCCCAGCTACGAGCAGACGGGACGCAAGGTGAGTGTCATATATGTATTGGCTGGTAGTTTTTAGTGTGTGTGTGTGTGTGATTTAAATTAATATGGTCATTTAAATAAATTTCGTACTGAATTATTTTGTGCTTGCAGTGTTCGCCCATTGATGATTACGCAAATTTTTTTCTGAATTTATTAATTATTTTTACACTGATTTCTTCTAACGCTAGATTATGCAAAACTGCATTTCACTTTTAAAACAATTTTATGCCATTTTTATACTCACCACAGACAATTAAAAACAAATGCCTTCCTTGACCATATCAATTTAATTTATTGATTTTCCTCTTAGGATAAAATATTATTTCTTATATCTGAAAAATTGGCTGGAGGGGGCTGCATGTTGAAGCTTTGTCATTTCGGTGATTTTCTATGTCATTTTTTCACAGTGAATTTCATTCTTTTATATCCTTTTTTGATGGCTTTTTCATTTAAAACTTCACATTTGAACAAATCGTTCATTATTTAATCAAATAAGTTTCATTATTTTTCAAATTAAAATGATTCACCTTTTAAATTAAAAAAACCATTAACTTTGATATTAATTTATTATAAATATAATTTTTCAAAACAACAAAATTTTGTTTTCAAATTAAATTAATTAGTTTTTCAAATGAAAGTTACTAATTTTCAAAATTAAAATTTTAAAATTGAAATAATTAATTTCGCAAATTTGTGTAATTATTTTTCAAATCAAAATAACTGCATTTTCAAATAATAGAAAATAATATTTTTAATTAAAATAAATACTTTCTCAAATAAAATTAACAATTTCTTTAAATTAAAATAATTTAATTTTCAAGTTGTAGCATTTAATATTTATAATTCAAGTATTTAAACTTTTCAAAATTAATGAAGTTAGTCTTCAAATTTGGCTCAAAATTTTTGAAATTAAAATTATTAAATTTTGAAATTAACATAATTATTTTTTTGAATTAGAATAATTAATTTTACAAATTAGAGTAATTACTTTTCGAGTTGATAATTCTTTTTAAATTAAAATAATTACATTTTCAAATAAAAATAATATATTTTTCAAACCAAAGTAAATAAGCTTTTAAGTTAAATTAATGACTTTTTCAAATTAAAATAATTTATTTTTCAAACTAAAGTAAATAAGCTTTTAAGTTAAATTAATGACTTTTTCATATTAAAATAAATTATTTTTCAAGTTGTTGTATTTAATATTTCTAATTCAAATAATTAATGTTTAAATTTAAAATGACTAACTTTTCAAAATAAATGTGGTTAGTCTTCAAATTAAATTTAAAAAACTGTTAAATTAAAGTAGATAAATTTTGAAATTAAAATGTTTATCTCTTTGAATTAGAATAAATAATTTTACAAATTAAAATAATTAAATTTTCAAATTAAAATAATGAATTTTGAAATAAATCAATTGTTTTCCAGATGAAAATTTCTATTTTTTGAAATTAAAATTTTCAAATTGAAGTAATTAATTTTACAAAATAAAGTAATTAATTTTCGAATTAAAATAATTATTTTTTCAAATTATAGTAAACAAATTATTCAATCAATTTAATAGGGTTTTCAAATTAGAATAATTTATTTTACAAGATATGGTGTTTAATATTTCTTATTAAAGTAATTAATGTTTGAATGACTAACTTTTCAAAATCAATGTAGTTAGTGTTCAAATTGAATTCAAATTTTTTGAAGTTGAAGTACTAATTTTTGGAATTAAATTAATTAATTTTTCGAATTAAAATAGCTAGTTTTTTGAATTAAAGTTTTCAATTCAAGTAAATAATTATTTGAATTAAACTAATTATTTTTTAAATTAGAATAATTTATTTTACAAATTAAAGTATGTAACATCTCTATTTAAAGTAATTAATGTTTCAAATTTTAATAAAGTTTTTATCAAAGTTAGTTAGTCTTCAAATTAAATTCCGTTTTTTTTGAAATTAAAATATTTATTTTTTTTCAAAATAAAATAATTAAATTTTCAACAAAAAAAACTAATTTTTCTAAATAAATGCATTATTTTTTTAAAATAAAATAATTATGTTGAAAAAAAAAAATTAAAATTAAGCATTAAGGAAAAAATTATTACTTTTTTTCTGCATTAAAGTTATTAAATTTTCAGTTCAATATAATTATTTTTCAAATTAAAATAATTATTGTATTAAATTAAAATAATTACTTTTTTAAACTAAAAGAAATAAGTTTTAAAATTAAACTTACGTTTTTTTAGATTAAAATATTTAATCTGCTAAATCAAATTCATAGCTTTTTAAAATTATATAGATTTTTATTGCACATTTTTCATAATTAAAATTGCAGCACGTATAGGGATACCTTTAAGGACTGGCACAAAAAAAATCACACTTTTAGTAAGACTACTTTGAAGGCAAAAAAAAAATTTTTTTTTTTAAATAATTTAATATTTAAATTTATAATAATTTTATTCACAAATCTCTACTGGTGAAGATGGTTGCAAAATGTTAAAGTGATTTTTCCGAATACGATAAAAGGAAAATACTGAACGTTGTATTAAGAAGCTTTAATATTTTGCTTGCAGTGTCAAATGCTAGATATTCGTCGAATTTTTGAATTTTTATTTAAATTTTGAAAGACTTAAAAGTTTTTAATTTCCAAATAGCAGACTATCCAACTATTTCCAAATTAAGTTAATTACGAATTTTTATTTCTAAATAAAACATCAAATAAAATAAAATCATTTTCACAAAAGTACCACATAATTGTAACTCTAATTACTTAATTATTTCTCGCATCGAATTACATGGATATATTATAATTTTATTAATGTTTTAAAAATTATGTGCTATAACAAATTTCAAACTTAAATAAAGCAAAGGTGCAACAAATGCAAATAAACAGCGCAAAGTTAACGGCAGCAGCCAGTACAAAAGATGCTGAAACAACATAAAAAAAAAAATGAAAAAGTAGAAAAAGAGAAAACACCAATGTTTTTGTCAACAAATCTAAGTAATGTTCAAAACAATAATAATAATCCACAAAGGAGCGCTTCCGCCGGTGCTGGCCTCACAGTGCTTTTCCCCTCCACTCTGCGCCAGTTGTTGCTTCCGTTGACAGTGGCGTTGTCGCCGTTTGCTTTATAAGCATTTCCTGTGCAAAAGATTTTAACTACACAAACCTGCGCTCTCCACTCCCTAGCTACCTCTGCTGTGTGTGTTCATACATAAATAAGCAAAAAAAAATTTCAAAAAAAAAATCACAAAAAAGAGTTTAAAATTAATCCTAAGCTTGCATAACAAGAGGGTATGCACAAAGAAAAAAAAAACGAGAAATGGTCGGTTTATTGTTAAGAGTGGAATATTTGTATGCGTGTATATGTTATAGAAATGAGTAATAAATAGAGAAGAACAATAGGAGAAAAAACGGCTACAAAATAGCATTAAAACAGAAATATTTTAGTACTAAGGAAATGAAGAAAATCATAGCAACAGCAAGTAAATACGCGCATTGTTGTAATAAAATCTACAGCAAAAAAATTACTGAGATATGTTGAACAGGGTTATCCATTTTGTGGTTTCGAAAGAAAAAAAAACGTAAATAAAATGTATTTAAAATAACTTTTTTTCATGTATGTATTTTGAGCTAATTTTCGAACACATTTCGGTACATATTGGATGGTATCTCAGCTCAAGAGTTCAAGAGTTCTCCCAAAAAATGTCCGGCAGTGTCAAACTACACCATCTCAGTGGCCAATCGGCATCGCCATGGCGGGTGATTACGAGCCAGGGAAATTTCCACCGCATTATAGTCATATTTGCTCGTGTGTGTTGTGGCGTGTGGCACCTTGTTCCTCAATCGCAGGCAACAAAAAAAAAAAAAAAAAAAAAAAAAGAATAAATATATTTATCTTACTGCGCTGTAGTGACAGCGACAGTCTCGTCTACTGTCGTTTCCAAAGTAGTAAAGTAAAGTGTCCCGACACACTTCCAGGTCAAAGAGCGCAGCAGATGGTAATTATTATTAATATTTTTTTTCTTTTTTTTATGTGATAACCTTACTTCAATGATTCCTGAAACCTCAAGTGCGACAATTTTACTTGTTTTCGTAACCCCCGAGAGAGCCTCGTCGCTGAAAAAAATTTTCTACGAGATATCGTCGTCTATTTTTCGTCTTTCATGTATCCAATTGACGTATGAGCGGTGCTTTGAGTCATCATCTAGCCTTAGTTATTGTGTGAGATGGACTGGACTGAAAAATACGCCATAATATCTTGTCCCAGTCACAGCTGTTGAGGATGTCGAGAAATAGACGCGTGCGGGTCTTCGGCTACATTTTCACTCAAAGTAGCCATATTTGAGGTGGAAAGTCTCAGAGGTTGATTAACATGCCTTGGAATATCTGCAACCGATCCAATCTTCTCAAATTTCTTTAAAATTTTACCAATCGGTGATCGATACGTGACCACGTCTGATTCATTATTTTTTGTAGTCCTTTTTTCCAAATTAGCGCGTTGTGCGGTTATTTTGCGATCTAATTTCATAAATGCCTGACTATTAGCTAAAAGAAGAAAGGTTTTGTTTTGACTCTTAAGTTAGACGGCTGTTAAAATACAGCCGTGTATCTGGTTGAAACCACGAAATGTTTAATCCTTTATATATTCGTAAAAAACTTAAGCGTACAGCTTACGGCGGAGACATTGTTTACTCGTACTTTCCAATTGTTTGCCCTCAATATTAGTTGGTTTGCTGCCTTTGCTTCTCTTTTACTCTGCCTCTCTTTCTTCCCCTCTCATTTGCTCTTACTCTATCTCTTTTACAACCACTACTTTCATTGTAAATATTATCCTTTTTACACTTACTCATTCCTCCATACTTTATTTTCTTCCGTCTGCCTCGTGTACCGTTTTTTTCTATTTAGAGTTTCTTAAAAGCTAAAGCTTTCAACTTGAGGTTCTTAAGGGCGTAAAAGCTCAAGCGAATGGTCAAAGGCAAATAGTCGAAATGCATTCAAGTTGGCTCT